CTCTAACTGAAATCAGGAAATTATTAGCCAACAGTCATTTAATGGACAACTGAGAAACTTTGACACCATTCAACAGTACACTTTTTAACAGGATTTTCAGGGCCACAAACAAGGACAAACCATTCATTCCATCAGCGGTTTAGTTCTGCTGATAAAGGGACAGCAGGCTTGTCTTTTCAAATTGCACTTATCCATAGTCTAGTACAGTGTTTCTCAACCTTGACAACTTTAAGATGTGTGGACTTCAATTCCCAGAATTCCCAGCCAGCAAAGCTGGCTGGGGAATCCTGGGAATTGAAGTCCATACATCTTAAAGTTGCCAAGGTTAAGAAACACTGGTCTAGTAAATAAGCCTGAATTGGCTGAAAGCACACAACAGGCTAAACCAAATCAAACAAACTGCATTATAGCTTAGTGCAGTGTCTGAACCCAGCCATTCCCACAATCAAAGGCTTTACCATTGGATTTCTTATATAGGTTTGCAACTTCTGTGAATATGCTACAGTTTAATATGTTCCCTTCCTTCCTGAATTGTGGTCCATCTTGCCATGGTGGACATAGCTGCAAACAGCACAGCGTGTTCCAAGCAACTCATCAAAGAACCAAAACCACTAGGAATCTCCACAGTACGATAAAAATTGGCAAAATTGTTGCCAAGGTCTCTCTAATTTATGCATTTCTCAAAACTAAAATTTAAATATACATTAATTTTTCCAGTATTCCAGCACAGAAGCAAGCCAAATCGGAGATGTACATGAATTATAAGACCCAAACCTATGCAATATTTCTTCATTAAAAATTAACTTAATTTGGTGCTTTAGCGCTTTTAAATACATCATTATTGCTCAATACACAACACTGGGTTATTTGGCATAATTGCATTATTTTGTATATTCATTAAATTTACTCAGAAACATTTCTTCTGTCAAATGTATACCCAGGGAAGCATGCATAAGAATGAATCCATAAAAATATAACTGTCTTTATTTTATAAAGTGAATATATCCAATCTCAGACAGAGGAAGTGGTACATTGTAGTATATGTATGCTTATTAGATTTGAATTTTTTTACAACAATACACAGGTAATATGCCCTCTACCATTTTATTTTATTTTCGGTACATTTCACCTCATGCAAACAGAATACGATTTTGCATCCCAAATGCATTTTTTCACATCCTTGAACCAGCCTCTCATACTTGTAGTAATCATGGCATCTGATCTGATCAATTTTAACAGAATATTCACGAGCATGAAGAACATTTCATCTTAGGGTGTGAAAGCCTCCAGCTTCGCTGATTAAAAAAGCCAAAGGTGCAGTGGAGGAGTCACCTAGGACAGCGACAGCCGCCCTACCACAGAGGGATTTTAGGGCAGGACAGACGGAATAATTGCCTCTCCGTGCCGATAAAACTCATAACCATAAATACAGAGCGCTCCCCCTTACAACCAGTGCAGCATTTCCCTACAAAGGCCCCAGGGCCAAAGCCCATCTGAAGTGCTTTTTAAGCCCCAGCCTCTCGCAGGCATCTGGGGACCAAGCGGCGGCT